TTCCCCCCCACTTCCCATATTTTCCCATATTTTCTTGGGAGTCTACGATTAATTGTGTCTGTGTGTTTTTCCCCTCCTGAATGATGCACTGGGCAGGAATAATACCGTCGACGCCGGCAGTCAGAACAATATCCCTAGCGGAACGCCACACCTTTGCCCCACCTTGCAACAGACGTGGGATAGATACGAACATACAAAGAGACTGGGGTCCTGCCCGAGGCCGGAGCGGATCCCGTTGTCGCCGGGAAATTAAGGGCATCCGTACACAACCTGCCTGCCGCGTCTTCCTCGCGGGTTGTGTTCTGCACGACAGGACAGCCCGTGCCAAATGATCACTCAAGCATTGCCACTTGGTTCCGCGCGCGGAAAAAAAAAACCTAAGGGAGACGTCGACGACTTCGGGAGCTTGGCCGCCTACACATGTCACTGCAGCGCACATGGATTCTGGGCACACAACGCCACGAAACGAGCGCCCGCGAGATGCGCTGATCCACGACGCGGGGACATCCTCGTCGTTGCACGCGCACATCAGCTGGAGGCGGGTCTTCTTAGCACCCGCACTGTCCGTCTGAGTGCCGATGTGCAGAAGCAACCAGGCTACGTAATCTCGCGATTGACTACGCATCCACTTACACTTACTTGCGCAACCCCGCCCGCCCCAGTTTCGAGACAGAGCACCCGCAGCCGACGCCCATCCATCGCGGCGGCCCCACGCCCAGCATGCTTTCGCACGTCGCCCCCAACGGACGCCATTGTAAAATTGCCCGCGCCTTCAAGTGCGAGACCACCATTCAGACATATTTGAAATTTCACTTTGGTACGGTAGCGGATAGAATATCATCAAAATTCCCCCACTCATCAGGGCCACCAGGATCGGAATCTCATCCTGGAAACTCAGGGGTTGAACGTTGCGAAGTTTGTCACGCAACCTTTCCCTCTGGGCTTCGGCGGCGGTCCGCGTCGGCATCGCACCCGGGTTAGGAGCACGCCCCTCGTCGGGCGCGCCCGCCCCTTCTGGGCTAGGCGCGCCCGAGGGCGCGCCCGCCCCCACTGGGGCGCCAGCGCCATCCTGCTTCGGGGGCGCAGCCGTTGACCTCGGCATGAGTAGCGCGGCATTCGGCCAAGCGGACGACGAAGCCGCGGCAGACGACTCGGCAGGTGCTTCAGCCGGTGGCCCACCCTGTAAATTTGCCTGCGGGGCATTTATCAGCGCCGCCCTTTTCTTTGCCGGTGGCCAGATGGGTCTTCCCTCGTAAACCTTGCGGCTTGGGCTGTGGCTGCTCGCCAGCTGGTAATGGTTCTGGTAGGCTGCCGGCGCCCTGACTGGAATCGCGTTTTGGAGGCAGGCCCGAGGCCCCCGTCAGATTGTTCATCGTTGCGCGGTCAAAAGGCGCATCAGGTTTTGACTTGCGCGCGCGGGGCAGGTAGCGAAGGCGCCCAATCGCCGTGAATGGACTGGCCCTCCCAGGACTCTGCGGACGTCGTGGCAACCCGCTGCCTAGGCAGAGGCGTCGAGCTACCTCCGAAACGGGCAGCTCTCATCCTGGCAGTGCCTGAGCGCATCCTCGCAAGGCCGCAGTCGCTCTCCATGTCGCTATCGGGGGGGGCTCCTCTTGGCCCACCTCTTGGCATGGACGTATTCTTTGCGGGGGCCGCATTTGTCTCGTCGGTGCCCCGGGCCCCCCAGGCGCGCCCGCGCTCGCCCATGTCGGGCCCGCATCCGCCCTGGGCGCGCCCGCGCGGCGGTTCGGCAGGCGAGGCGCGCGCGAGCGGCCGACCCCCCCCCCCCCTGGCCTCATCGATCTTCTCGGCCGCCGCCCGAGTGGATGGTGGAGGGGGCGCGGGAGGCTCGGCCCTGGAGCCACCCGCAATCTGCCCCGGCGCATTCAGCTCGCGCCGACGGGGAACACTGCGATCCCTGTCGACGCTCGCCTCGACAGGGTCTGTGCCCCGCCGCTGCCACTGCCAATCCTGGTCGTAGATCTTTAGCATGTGATCGCCGCCCAGATCTCCCCGAGCAGCGTCTGCATCTTGGACTTCAGTCCTCAGCGGGCGCGGCCGCCCTTCCGCCCGCGCCGTCGCCACGGTCTGGATGCCAAGGCGCCTCGCCATGATTCATGATGAAGGCTGCGAGATGGACGGCCCATCGGGCAGTTACAGCGACGCTGACTGCGAGCCGGGCACGGGCACACACGGTAGCACCTGCGAGCGTGGACGGCGCCTCGCTTGCACGCCCGCCCCCCGCCCCCCCCCCCCTTCACCGCGACGATATGGCGCTCTGATACCCGGCCCCTGTCATCACGAGAAATATGCTTCAAAGACCACCATTGGCGAATCTGTGCTTATGTGTAACCCTGTTCGCGGACGCAGTCCACGTCGGCTTCGCTGATCTCCATGCGCGGGCCTTGTTCGTCTCAAAAGAAGAACAGATCCCTCACCAAAGGATGAGTACACTTTTCCCCCGACCGACTCGCAGGAGCCTGCGCCGCACGCGGGCTCTGCACACTGAGCATGGCCTCTACCCTTGGAAGGGCCAGCCCCGCGCTAGCGACTTCGACCTCGACCGGGACCGCCCGTGTCCGGGCTACATTTGATCGAGTTCCATGGAGCGCCTGCTGCGGCGCGGGCCGCTGCGCCGCGGCCACGGCGACTGCTTCCTTCGTCGCTTGTGCAGGGGCCACCCGAACCAATGGTAGCCTGTCAAACTCACCCCACATGACGAACGTGTTGGCGCGAGTCTGCCCCCATCCCACAGCAGCCCGCTCCTCCTCCGTGAGTCCAAACACCGTTGGGGTCGGGAGCGGGCGGAGCCCCGCCTGCTCGTGTCCGTTACCGCCGGTGGCAGGTACAGTCTCCGCGTCAGACATACAATCGTCGTCACCGTCGTCGCCTGGGTCGCACTGCGCTCATCCGCGCCCACGCGCGCCGGCCCAGTCCTCGATGGACGCGCCGCAGAGCTTCTCGATCCCATCGCGCAGGCACCAGGCGCAGAGCCCCACTGGCACGGCAGCGTCGGCGACGTGGGCCATCAAAAACCAAGCTGAAGTGAAATGGGAGTAAACGGGGTCGTCGATTCCGGGGAGATCAACGTACTCAAAAATATCCGTTTCAGATTGCTCTGAACCGAGAAATGCGGATTCGCTCCCTTTTCCACATCCGTTGGAACACTGTGCTTGGAAATGCGCATCACTTCCGCATGTGTTGCACGTCATCCTTTTTTCGACTTTACCCATTTCATTGGGCCCTTGCCTGTAATATGTAGTACGCCTGCGCCCGTTACATCTACCTCTACATTCAACAAAATAGGTCTTCAAAGTCGTAGTCGGTCGATCGAGCCAGAACTGCGGCCACGCCTCTGCCGCGCAATCTGCGGACGCGTCTACCACCTCCGCCGCGGCCCTTTCCTTTGCGGAAGAACACACGACGTGCAACTCGCCTAGGCCTCCGAACTGGTTTCTTCATATGTCGCCTCTCCGGGACAACTTCGGGGGCTGATTCGCAAGCGCCCCAGGAGGGCCCAAGAGGGCCGCAGATGGCCCCAGGGCGACCCCAGAGGGGCCCAGGAGGCCTGAGGAGGACCCGACGAGCGCCCCAAGACGACCACGATGGACCCAAGATGGCCCAAGATGGGACCAAGATGGCCACTCGACGGCCCGACGAGCTTCCCAGATGGCCCAAGGAGGCCCGAAAACGTCTCGCAACCGGCCCCCGGGAGGCAAAATTGATGTGTTTTCATGTGGTTTCGGTGCCATTTTCGCATACTCGACTTCTCGGTCTCCGGAACGCTCGACATGGCCCAGGAAGCCCCCGAGGTCGCTAAAAGATGGCCCAGTAGGCGCCCAAGAGGGCCCCAGACGAGCTTAGGACGGCCCCAAGACGCTCTAAAAGGGGCCCCTGGCCCCCAAAACACTATGATAAGAGGGTTCCCTGCCACCCCCAAGAGGGCTCCGAGACACCAAAATCATAGCGGTTAAAAATTGAGTGCTCTTACCTTTTCGGACTTTCGACGTTCAAAGACCAAGAAGCCCCGAACATCGCTCCAAGACGGTCCAAGAGGCCCCCAAAAGCGTCGACCCAAGATGGACGCAAAACGGGCCCAAGAGGCCCCCGGGGATCCCAGGAGGCTCCCAGTAAGCCCCTAGGAGGCAACAAGATGGGCTCAAGATTCCTCCTCTTCTCCTGCTTCCTCTTCCTCCTCCTCCTCCTCCTCCTCCTCCTCCTTCTCCTGTTAATGTTAGTAGGTTCGTCTTCTTCGTCATATGATTAGTATTGTTATGCAAATCCTGAGCAAGTGATATGAATGGTATTCGTATTAGTAAGACTCGACTGACACTTATGTTTCTGAGCATCCGAATCGTTTCTATTACTGAGATTCGTCTTCCTCTTCGTAACATTGATCTGATTAGTAGCATGATGAATAGTATTGGTCGTACTATTGCTATGCTTATTGTTCGTCTCCTTCGTCATATGATTCAAATAGTATTCCTCCTCCTCCTCCTCCTCCACCTCGTCGTCCTCCTCCTCCTCCTCCTCCTCCTCCTCCTCCTCCTCCTCTCTCTTCCCTGGCTTCCGACGTCCGAAGACGGCCCCAGAGGCCTCCAAAATAGCCCAAGACGGCCCAAGAGGCCACCAAGAGAGCCCACAGACGGCCCAAGAGGGCCACCAAGCCGGCCGACGAGGCCCCCCAGAGGGCTGTGGCATCCGTGGTTTCAAATGTGGCTCTCGCCTGAGCGCCGCGCACATCCGTCTTTAAGTTCCAATAGTTCGGAGGAGTATTACAATTGGCGTCCCAGAAACTGTGTTCTAGCCCCGCTTAGGTCTGTCAGGGCGCAAGAAACACGTTGACTCGCGATCACAGCAGTTACGTAGATTCGCGGCGTTGATCTCAGGAATGTGTCTTGGCACCGTTGAGGATTCTCAGACGTTGTCTTTCCACGGGGCTCTTCCTGCAGTTAAAACAAATCCTTGCAGGGACCTATGAAGAGGGAACTTGGAGAGGCTCCACATCCTCATGCTGAGGTCATGTGATCAGGAACAGTAAAGCAGGGTCCGATCCAACAGAGTTCGGTCACCACTCGGCTAGGACAAGAATGGAGGAGTCAAGATGGAAAAATGCACGGTCGACTCGCGTTGCACGAAGAGAGGGAGGACAATCAGGAGGAGGAGGAGGAGCGGGAGGAGGAAAAGGAGACGAGGAGTGGCGGAAAAGTGGTGAGGCCACCGGGTTGCTGCAGCCAGGCAGCGCCATCCAGCGCCCGCTTTCCCACTACTGCTGCGAACCCTCGGGCCCCACACACCGAGGCGGAAGCGGAACGGGCCGCCTGTGCCCGTCGTGGGTGGCTGCCCCGCAGGCGATAGACAGGCGACCGACTGGAGCCGTGCTGTTCTGCGAACTCCTGGGATCTACCAGGGGGCTCCACGCCGAAGTAGAGGTCCCAGCGAGCTCTCTGCGCAGGTCGCGCGCGACGACCCCAGCGAATACCTGCTACCCCGCCGACGACCGACGGCCGACGAAGGGGTAGGACTGCAGGCGGCCGACTGCTGCCGCGTTGCCCGGCGAGCCCTCGGGCGCCATGCCGAAGCTGAGGTCAAGCGAGCTCTCTGCGCGGGTCGTGCACGCCGCCGGCGTCGCCAAAAAAGGGTAGGACTGCAAACGACTGATCGCTCGAACGATGGAAGGACTTCCACCAGTACTGCTCCCATCGGGATCACTATCCTCATCGTTCCCAGGCGTCGCCGTCTGGAAGACGTCCTCCCCCCGGGCAAGGACGCGCTCCGGGTGGCACCAGATGAGCCACCAGTTGCGAAGGCAGCCATCGTCGAACGGATTGGGGGTTTGAGCAGTTAGATGCTCGTTCGTCGTGAGGCTTCTGCTTATGAGCACTGTGTGGTGTCGCGCAAGAGCCAACATTGGCATCAATGTAACAGTTGAGACGATGAGATACACAACCGCCAAACATACCCAGAGCCTTTCGCTGACGGTCCATGGAGCACTGCCCTCGCAGGGCCAATCATACACTGACGAACTGTTCTTATACAACATGATAGAGACGGTGCCAAGGTCGAGCAGGAGATGGATTGATGCACTGTAGAGCATGCAGACGTAGGGCCGATAGTTATTGAGCCCTACACAATTCCCCAGCCATGAGCAGTGGTGGTCAAAACGGAGTACACAATTGTCACATACACCACAATGCTTTGAGCGGGGCGGTCGGAGCTGCAAACACGTGCGGCAGACGTTCTGCCTCACTGGAACGCCCTTGATCAACAGAACTCGTGCCCTGTTACTGGTAGACTCCTCGGTTCGAGGCGCGATTCCTGGATTCATGAAGGCCGCAAGAAGCCAGGAGAAGAAGGCGATGAGGGCAAACAAACTTTGCAGTCTGAGTGCGACGCCGTTGAAAGGTGCAAAAGGCATCGTGCATGGCACCAGGTATGCAAAATAAACAACTGCGGGGGGGATAAGCACGCACATCATCATTGCCACTGCGCGAAAACTTACCGACACAAAGCGCCCTCGCCCAAAAACCACGCTGTTGCCGCGATATGAACGCAATAGGTATTCCTGGAACACTTCCTCTGGACCACAGATGAGAGGTCGCAGTGGGCGCGCCCGCTCGCTTACTCTTCGAATTTCCCCCTCCGCAATAGGAGCGCAATAATCAAGATACCTGCTCATCCTGTCGGGTTCCCCCTCTGCGTCCAAACGCTCGCCAACCTCGAGCTGAAATGGCTACGGGCCGTGAGCTGAATCCGACCAGCCCTTTGATGCGTGGGTGGTCTAGGGAGGCTCCTCTCCCAATCCCTTCTTCCCCTTCCTTCGGGGAGAGGTTTACCACTTTTCCTTATTGGTATACACCCCCTCACCCAGGCGACCGGCCAAGCAGGAACCATGAGGAGACCATGGCGACCCGCCTCCCCACCATCCCCGTCAAGAAAACCATACAAACCGCACTCTGCCTCCACATTTGGAGCATGCGCGGCCAACCCGATGTGCCCCCCCCCAACCGTCCTTGTCAACAAACAACACACAGTACACTTCGGGGCAAAAGTCTTGAATCATGTTCGTGAGGCCCGCGGGCACTTTGTATTGTTTTTTACAGGGACGGCGGGGGGGGGTCAGCATATTCCCTGCTGCACGCAGGGCTACCGTCCCTGACAGAAAACCATACAACATGCACCTCGCGGCTAAATCTGGATCCGCCGACCCCCTGGGTCATCGGCGTGTGAGATGCTTCCCCCTCCCCAAACCCCTCCCCCGGGAACCCGGTCCGGTCGATTTGGAGGGGGGGGGGGCCCACCACGAGCGACTCACGACGCCCTTCCGGGCCCAAAAAAGCCCAAATACGGCCCAAGAAGGCCCCAAGAGGCCTCCCAGACGTTCCAAGAGGCCCCCAGACGCCCCAAGAGACCGCCTAGCCGCCCTAAGAAGCGCCCAACGAGGCCCCAAGAGGCTTCCAAGACGCCCCACGAGGGCTCCAAGACGCCCGAAGAGACCTCCAAGACGCCCCAAGAGACCTCCAAGAGGCCCCCGACGAGCGCCCCAAGAGGCCAAAATCATTGATTTTCATTGGTTTTTTCGATGTCTTCGTCATTTTCGCCTTTTCGGCCTTCCGACGCTCCAAGACAGCCCAAGAAGCCCCCAAGACTGCTCCAAGACGGCACAAAAGGCCTCCACGACGCCCCCAAGACGGCCCAAGAGAGCCCCCGGACGGCCCAAGAGCCGCCCAAGGCGGCCCAAGAGAGCCCCCAGACGGCCCAAGAACCGCCCAAGACGGCCCAAGAACCTCCCGGCGACGGGCCCAACAGGGGTTCCAGAGAGAGACCACGCACCGGAAAACCCAGCCAGCCTTACGCCCCAAGAGGCCCCCAGGAGGCCCCCAGAGGCCCCAAAGAGGCCCCAAGAACCCCCCAAGAGGCCCCAAAGACGTTCCAAGAGGCGCCCAAGAAGCCACAAAGGCGCCCAAGAAGCCACAAAGAGGCCCCAAAACGGCCCCCAAGAGCCTTCGAAACTGCTCCAAGAGGCCCGAAAGAAGCCCCCCCGCAAGATCCCAACGGACATCTCCGAACACACCCGTTTTTCGAGTCGCGCCCAGCCCCATAACCCGGAGCCTCATCTCAGTGTCCCCCTCCTCCTCCCCTTCCTCCTCCTCCTACACTGCCTCCTCGTTCCCCTCCTCCTCTTCGTGCCCCGCTTCAGCTCATCCTCACCGATGCTTCTCCCCCCCATTTTCCGCCTCGCCCCCCATCCTCCTCTTCCCGTCCTCCCTTTTCTGCCCAGCACGCGCAACCGATTGGGCATCATTTGCACGTCTTGCACTTTAGGGGGCCCTTCTTTGCGTCGCGCGGGACATTGTGCGGGACGGGAGGCCGACTTTGGTAGTCCTCTCTTGCACGCGCCGCTGCACTGATAAGCCTGGCAACTGCGCGCTGTGAACCCGAGTTCCTCGCAGCTTCTGCACACCAATTTAGCTCCTTTCGCCGCTCGATGCTGTTCCACTTGCTTCTGCTTCAAATGTTTCGTGTCCGAGAACGCGCCTTTGCACGCCGCGCACGTCAGCGGTTTCGCGTCCGCCTCTGCTTTCCGCTTGCGATTCTCTGCACCCGCCTTCTCGTTCCGCCCGCCCTTCTCGTTGCGGGCGCACGCCCTGCAAAGCCTCTCCCCCGCATCTTTCGAGTCGTACTGGTTCGCCGCCACTTCCGCCTCCGTCTTCAAGAAATTCTTGCACTTCGCGCACCGAATCTTGAATAGCTCCTGAATCTGAGAGGCCTCTGAACCACAACTCAGGCACGGTGGCGGGATGGGCCGACTACTGGGAGGAGGAGCAAAGACGACGACGATAGGAACGCGGGGGATAAAGCCGGGCCATGACGCCCCCAAGACGTCCAAGATTGCCAAAAAAAAAAAAACAAGGGGTCGGCGGTGTGGCGCAAACCTAAAGATCATGCGCGGCCATCCCGCGATCAGTGTCAAATGGTTTTTGACACGGACCGCGGGGGTGCTGGCGCGTGGCCTGCTGCGCGCAGGCCCATCAGACACAATGATGGGCATTGGTTTTCGACTATAGGGGCTGACATGTTTCCCGATGTGTGCGGTCACGTGCGCAGGCGCACCTGACACACCCTGCACGTGCCCCGGACGTGGCGCACCTGGCGCGGCTGGAGTGTGCGGCAAACCTGCCGCACTCGGAGCACGTGGCGCATCTGGCGCACCAGGCGTGCCTGGCACTCTCGGGGCCAAAGGGTGCCTGGCGCGCGTGGCGCCCCTGGCACGCGTGGCGCACCTCGCCCAAGCGTCGCGCACCTGGGGTCGGCTTTGGTCCCCAGTAGAGCTGCCCATCCAAAGACGACCGCTGAACATGCTCAGGCTCGGGTGTTATTTATGTATTGGGAGGGCGGGTGGGAGTGAGCTAGACGGCTTGCGAGCGGGTGGGTAGCTTCATCACTGTTCCCTATTAATATACCCCCCTCCCCCAGGCGATTGGGAGCCAACCCAGGTCCATGAGGGCCCCCCCCACCATCCCTTTGCACAACAAACAATACAAAACACACTCTGCCCCCACCATCCATTGTAAAAATTCTATACAAAACACATTCTGTCTCCAAATTCAAAGCATGCGCAGCGCACCCGATGCGGCCTGACCCCACCATCCTTGACAAAAAACCAAACAGAGTACACTTGGCGGCGGCGGCGGCTGCGGCGGCTGCGGCGGGGGCAGCCGCTGCGGCGGCTGCCGCGGTGGGGGCGGCAGGGGCGGCGGCAGGGGCGGCGGCGGCGGCGGCGGCGGCGGCGGCGGCGGTGGCGGCGGCGGCGACGGTGGCGGCAGCGACTGCGGCGGCAGCGGCTGCGGCGGCGGCGATTTGGCAGCGAGGGCGGCGGCGGCGGCGGGCAGCGCGGCGGCGGCGGCAGCGGCGGACAGCGGCCGCACTACAGAGTACACTTGGCGGCGGCGGCGGCGGCTGCGGCGGCGGCGGCGGCGGCGGAGGCGGCGGAGGCGGCGGCGGCGGCGGCGGATTGGCCCCCAGTAGCTGGCCATCCGAAGACGACTGCTGCATATGCTGCGGCTCGGGCCAGGCTCGGGTGCTACGTATGTGTTGGGAGGGCGGGCGGGAGTGAGCGAGACGGCTTGCGGGCGGGGAGGGCGTCTTGACCCCTCCCCCTTACCCCGTTCCCTGGACCGGGACGGGGGGGGACGCTGGTAGTTGGAGCGTTCAAGGTGGCCCAAGACGGCTCCAAGAGCGCCTCGGAGAGCCCAAGATGAGCTCCAAGTTGGCTCAACATAGCCTAAGATGCCTCAAGATGGCTCCGAAGATGCTCCAAAAGGCCAACAGACCGCCCCAAGACGGCTCCAAGAGGCCTCCGAGACCTCAAAGGAGGCCTCCAAAGGGCCAACACCCTTCACAAACCTCAGGAAAACCAATGATTGTTGCATCGTCGCCCGCTCGCTTTCGATAGCCTTCCGAGGCCTCAGGATGGCTCCAAGATGGCCCAAGAGGGCCCCAAGAGAGACTAGAGAGCCCCAAAACGGCCCTAACAGTACCCAAGAGCGCGCCAAGAGCGCTGCAAGAGGGGTCCAGGAGGCGATTGTTGTGGCTCCGCTAATTGAGGAGCCCCTCTCTTTCTGATCGATGTCCTCCAAGATGGCTCCAAGAGCGTCCCCGATGCTCCCAAGAGCGTCCCAGAAGGGCCCCAAGAGGCGCCCACACGGACCCAAAGAGGAGCCCAAGAGGCCTCCGATAGGCTCCCACGAGGCCTCCAATAGGCTTCAAGAGGATCCCCGAGGCACCCAAGATGCCCCCAAGACGCTCCCAGAGGCCTCAGAAAAACAAGAGACATCCGAGGATGCTCTTCAGATAGTCATGTATTCCTCCTCCTCCTCCTTTTCCTCCTCCTCCTCCTCCTCCTCCTCCTCCTCCTCCTCCTCCTCCTCCTCCTCTTCCATCCTCCCTCATCTCTCTCCCCCGCCTCCTCCTCCTCCTCCTCCTCCTCCTCCTCCTCCTCCGAGAGCAGGAGGAGGTACGCGCGAAAACCACATAAGTCGACATGCTTCGCGGAAGTTGCTGTCTTGGCATGGGCTGGTGGGGATTTGTTTGATCTCAAGCGCACCGGGAGACGCCGGACGCCGTCCAAAGGCCGCTGAAAGACAGTGACCACCAGCTCGTAGACACACCACGAGGAGCAGGCGACAGGACCAACGGTCGTTCCGTCGCAGGGTGGCGGTCGAGTCACACGCGCCGCCAGGCGTCGACCAACTCACGTGCAGGCTCTCAACAGACCAGAATCTGTATCGCCAGACACCGTCGGGGACTGGCGTCGAGACCGCGTGCCGCAACGCGGGGGGCGCGGGCCGGCGCTCGCGCACCGGGGAGGGACCGATCCATTCGACCGAAGGCACCGGAGCGCGCCATGGAAGCGCCAAGCCGCTAGCATGCTGGATCCCGCTTGGGGACCGTCGGGGAGACAACCCGCCCGGTGGGGGGTGACCGAGAGGTCGGCCGGCCCCAGGCCGGCGAGGGATTGCCGCAGGCCAAGAGCCGCAGGGGGCGGAGAGGCCGAGGCGGAGGGGCAGCAGAGGGCTGGCGGACAACCGAAAGTGACGGCCCGCGCCGGCCGAGCAGCAGAAGGTGGAGCCCAGGCGGCGCCTTTGTGCGGAGCATAGGCCGCTGGGCGGGGCGCCGCGGGGCAGCAGGCCACGGCAGTGAAACGCCTCCGACGCATCTGGGACCCCGGAG